CAATGGAATCAGATTCACACAAATAAATAATCATGTTTTATTGTCGCTGACTCACTTAAAGAGTGTTGTGTGAATAAGGAAGGAATATAATCCAGTAAACATCTCTTGTCTTTGTACAGTAAAGATATGGGTCGAGTTCCCTGCCCGACTACATTGCAGACACATGCCAGATCCTATGCCTGGATAGGTACAGTATTTAACATATCAGCTAACCACATATGGCATAGCAACCTGATGGCCGACTGCACAGTCGATCAACCAAATCTTATCGGTCACATGCTTGGTAAACAACAGGTGTAGACTAACAGTGAAATGCTTGACGGGTCCTTCCCAACAATGCAGAGAGGGAGAAAATAGAGACCATAAGAAAATAAATAAATTCACATTGAGTAACGATACACAGGGTACCAGTACTGAGTCAATGTGCAGGGGTACGAGGTAATTGAGGTAGATATGTACATATACAGGGCCTTCGAAAAGTATTCAGACCCCTTGACTTTTTCCACATTTTGTTACATTACAGCCTTATACTGAAATGGATTCAACACAGCACCCGAGCGCCGCTCTGTCCCGTTACAACTGTTGGATTTTCACATCCAAGTAACGAGAGGTCTCAACCCCCCCCCCCCCCCCCCCCCCAGGATTTTTTTTTTTACATTTGAGTGAACTGATCAATGCGTCCGCACAATTTCTGAGCGCATATTGCATTACGAACTGCCTCCTGTCCAGAGCCTCCTGTCCAGACCAGTGAGTCACAGCTCTTCCTCGCTGTGTGGTGACGTGGGTCGCGTCAGCCACACTATGAACCTACAAACAGATGACCGGGTGCACTTACACATAAAAGCTATGCACGATGCAGGCGTGCATTCTCAAAGCCTGAGGGCAGATTGAGGATCACTGACCAGGTCTCCCTTGTCAATACAATATAGTAAAAGCAAAACTGATCCTCGATCTGCCCCAAAATGCTTTTTTGAAGATCCTTATTAACTGTGAGGGGGATCTTGGATGGTTGGTGGCCTGGCGGTTGGGAGCTTGGGCTGGTTGCCGAGACGTCGCTGGTTCGGGTCCCCGATTCGACTGTGTTGGGGGATCTGTCCTTGTGCGGGGTACTTGACCCTGGTCGCTCTGGATGAGAGTGTCTGCTAGATGACTAAATGTAATGTAAATATTGAGTAGCTTCACTGCAGGTAGATTGTATGTTTAAATTTAGTTTTTTTATATATATACAGTGCATTCGGAAAATATTCAGACCCCTTGACTTTTTCCACATTTTGTTACTTTACCGCCTTATTCTAAAATGGATTAAATTGTTTTGTTTTTTTACCCCTCATCAATCTATACACAATACCCCATAATGACAAAGCAAAAACAGGTTTTTAGACATTTTTACAAATGTATTAAAAATAAAACAACTGAAATATGACATTTACAGTGGGGAGAACAAGTATTTGATACACTCCCTCCCCTCAATACGGTGCAGTCGTCCTGTCCCTTTGCAGAAAAGCATCCCCAAAGAATGATGTTTCCACCTCCATGCTTCACGGTTGGGATGGTGTTCTTGGGGTTGTACTCATCCTTCTTCTTCCTCCAAACACGGCGAGTGGAGTTTAGACCAAAAAGCTCTATTTTTGTCTCATCAGACCACATGACCTTCTCCCATTCCTCCTCTGGATCGTCCAGATGGTCATTGGCAAACTTCCGACAGGCCTGGACATGCGCTGGCTTGAGCAGGGGGACCTTGCGTGCGCTGCAGGATTTTAATCCATGACGGCGTAGTGTGTTACTAATGGTTTTCTTTGAGACTGTGGTCCCAGCTCTCTTCAGGTCATTGACCAGGTCCTGCCGTGTAGTTCTGGGCTGATCCCTCACCTTCCTCATGATCATTGATGCCCCACGAGGTGAGATCTTGCATGGAGCCCCAGACCGAGGGTGATTGACCGTCATCTTGAACTTCTTCCATTTTCTAATAATTGCGCCAACAGTTGTTGCCTTCTCACCAAGCTGCTTGCCTATTGTCCTGTAGCCCATCCCAGCCTTGTGCAGGTCTACAATTGTATCCCTGATGTCCTTACACAGCTCTCTGGTCTTGGCCATTGTGGAGAGGTTGGAGTCTGTTTGATTGAGTGTGTGGACAGGTGTCTTTTATACAGGTAACGAGTTCAAACAGGTGCAGTTAATACAGGTAATGAGTGGAGAACAGGAGGGCTTCTTAAAGAAAAACTAACAGGTCTGTGAGAGCCGGAATTCTTACTGGTTGGTAGGTGATCAAATACTTATGTCATGCAATAAAATGCAAATTAATTACTTAAAAATCATACAATGTGATTTTCTGAATTTTTGTTTTAGATTCCGTCTCTCACAGTTGAAGTGTACCTATGATAAAAATTACAGACCTCTACATGCTTTGTAAGTAGGAAAACCTGCAAAATTGGCAGTGTATCAAATACTGGTTCTCCCCACTGTACATAAGTATTCAGACCATTTACTCAGTACTTTGTTGAAGCACCTTTGGCAGCGATTGCAGCCTCTAGTTTTCATGGATATGACACTATAAGCTTGGCACACCTGTATTTGGGGAGTTTCTCCCATTCTTCTCTGCAGATCCTCTCAAGCTCTGTCAGGTTGGACGGGGAGCGTCGCCTCACAGCTATTTCAGGTCTCTCCTGAGATGTTAGATCGGGTTCAAGTCTGGGCTCTGGCTGAGCCACTCAAGGACATTCAGAGACTTGTCCCAAAGCCACTCCTGCGTTGTCTTGGCTGTGTGCTTAGGGTTGTCGTCCTGTTGGAAGGTGAACCTTCACCCCAGTCTGAGGTCCTGAGCGCTCTGGAGCAGGCTTTCATCAAGGATCTCTCTGTACTTTGCGCCGTTAATCTTTCCCTCGATCCTGACTAGTCTCCCAGTCCCTGCCGCTGAAAAACATCCCCACAGCATGATGCTGCCACCACCATGCTTCACCATAGGGATGATGCCAGGTTTCCTCCAGACGTGACGCTTGGCATTCAGGCCAAAGAGTTCAATCTTGGTTTCATCAGACCAGAGAATCTTGTTTCTCATGGTCAGAGTCCTTTAAGTGCCTTTTGGCAACTCCAAGCAGACTGTCATGTGCCTTTTACCGAGGAGTGGCTTTCATCTGGCCACTCTACCATAAAGGAGTGCTGCAGAGATGGTTGTCCTTCTGGAAGGTTCTCCCACCTCCACAGAGGAAGTCTGGAGCTCCGTCAGAGTGACCATCGGGTTCTTGGTCACCTCCCTGACCAAGGCCCTTCTCTGTTTGAATTACATGAAAGAAATGCACTAGATCATGAATATAGTTGCTTGACACCACACATTTAATTATATTATAGCACTTTTTCCTTTTCCCACGTCGTATTTTGAATTTCATAACGAATGAATGGACAATACACGGACCATATCGCCAATACCAGGTTGAAACATCTCTGGCGACGTTTTGTAAACCACACCTGTAATGCTCCAACATGTTGGGTTTAAATCACTATCTGGTGTTACAATCTGTAGCTAACCTGGGGGATTATGAATGCATACTGCCCTGAGATTAGCAGATAGCTAGCTAATGAACCTGCAACTCAAGGTCAATCTTGTAATTGTAACTAGTTAGGTGGCAATTTAACATAGTGTCGATATTCTTGACAAAGTTGCTAGCTAACGTCAACTAAGATTCGAAGAAGCGTCTAACTGCGATGCTGGCTAACCAGCGAAATCCTTTAGCGATGTGTTCATATGCTTCGTTCATTTTTGCTGGCCATGGTCCTATCGTGGTCGTCGAGTAGATTTTATTTGTTAGAAAATTGTAGCCGAGAACCAGGATACACAAATGCCGTTGGTGTTTGGATTAAAATATGTCGCAGAACTGTGGATGCTGAGATGGCATTGCGCAATGCACCACACTCGGTATATATTAGACTGGCATTCAACATAAAGAAATGCTGTCAAATCGTGCTTTTGGGGGAAACTTGTGGATAGAGATTTGAGAGAAGGTTATTATAGTAGGAAAACTTATAGTAGGAAAACTGTGTGATATTATGTTAAGTGATAGGTATTTCATAATGTCATTTTCACGCAAGGCTTTTAAAGCATAAGGTTTGGATTTGGGAATGGGACACTAGTCAATAGAAAAATATACATGTAGAGTTTAAAGAAAATCTTGCCTCAAGAGAAAGAAACGAGCATTGGCCTAAACAGTCAGAGAGATCTGATAACATGTATTTATCATTAGTCCCTCTCTCAACATGACATGTTTTCAACAAAAAACTTCAACTAAATTTATTTAAATGTATATAATCCGGCTAGATGTCTGTCTCCATGCCGTAGTAACAGTAATGCACATGCTTTTTATTATGATAATTGAATTGACACACAGCATGCAACCACTTCGACGCTTGCAACTTTCGTATCCTTTGGAATGCGACGGAAGCGGAAAGATTCGGATGCGCCTGCGGTAACGGTGCGGATCAGTGCTCTCCGGGATCCTTGGGACGTCCCTACCCTAAACCCTAACTCAGGGTTTCCCACGTTTTGTTTTTTGCTCTAACACTACACAGCTGATTGAAATAATCAACTAATCATCAAGCTTTGATCATCTGAATCAGCTGTGTAGTGTTAGGGCAAAAAAAACAAAACTAGCACCGAGTTTGTGGAAACGCTGCCCTAACCTTAACAAAAACCCTTACCTAACCTATTTTAGGTTTCAACCTCAATGGGGTGGGGGGTAAGGACATCCCAAGGATTCCGGATAGCAAGGACCCTGCGGTGACGTAATGAAAAAGCTACCAGAGGTGCGTTCAGTTCGCTTGAACGTTTGCTACGTTGCAGAACGGTTTGTACTGAACGACACGTTTTCCCCAAAACGTTATTGTACGTTCTTGAACAGACTAAAGGTCTACGTTTGCTGCCGTTCGGTGGTGTGGCGACTGGCCATGCCGACAGCGTTCCCCAACCCCTCCCCGTTTTTCAACCGGTCTTTTAGTACAGCACCGTTTCAGTTCAATTGAACTTTCCAGAACGTAAAAACGTAATGAACACAGCCCTTGATTCTCTTGACAGCAGCTGAACAATTTGGAAACTTTACCGAACTAACTTCCAAGACTAAAGAAAAATTACTAAAAGTGGGCCCACGTAGTTATTTTCGCTTTTAAAAGCGTGTGTAGGTGTTCAAATGTGGAATTATTGATGGATTCGCGGTATGAGATCCAGCGGAGGGCCGGTGGGGGATCGGCGAATGCTTCCCCGGCTCTGGGGGCACAGTCTCGCCGCAGGAAGATGCCGCCCAGACCCGCCGATTATAAACTTCAGATCATTATCATCGGCTCCCGTGGAGTAGGCAAAACCAGTCTAATGGAAAGATTTACCGACGACACCTTCTGCGAAGCATGCAAATCAACCGTTGGTAAGGAATGTCCAGATATCGTTAGCCTCCTTTGCTAGCCAAAACTAGCTGCTAACAGTTCTGTTATTGTTGTGTTCTATGCTAGCTAACCCTTGGCTAGTTAGCTAGCTAGCAATCAGTTTTTACACTAACTACATGACTTGACGCAAACCGACCTAGCTAACCCTTTATCTGTGAACACGTATTAGGCTACTGTATGGTCACCATCATAGATTTTACAACAACTATTTGTAAAGAAGTTGGTAACAACAGGGGAAGACTGCAATGTGTAAAAGCTTGAGGTTGTTGTTGTTGACACTGATCTGTCAAACAGAGCACTGAGAGAAGCTAGCTAGTACTGTAACTTGATCCCTGTCCAGCAACTAGACTAGAGGTTACTGAGGGCCCTAGTAACTGTACTGTTGCCTTGTCAGAATTGTTGTTACTAGCTACCTTGATCCAGAGGAACCCAATAGTGGCTTTTAGTATTTTGTCATAAATAAAAAACGGTCTACTACAATAACTTACTTCACAGTGATATTGTTATTAATATTTTTTTCTCTCCAGGTGTTTAGAATCAATAAATCCAGCGTAATTATCCATTTACATTTCAAATATCCTGAGGCATAGACAATGTATCAGTTCTATATCTATGGTGAGAGGTATGCTGTCTGTCCTTGTGACACTATCAGGGGCCGTTTCTGAACCTCTTGGTCTGTAGACCCACACGTCCCTGGGATGTTGCTGACTGGTCCCTCAGGTTTTTAACTGACACTGATTTAGTCACTTCTCTTAGCCTAGTTTTGAGGCCTACGTGGTCCTTGCTGGTCACTTGCCGGTCCTCACTGTTTAAGTGCTCAAGCCTGATTGAGTTAAATCCTCCACACAGGGACAGGACTTGAATGGTCTTGAACAGAGGGTCAGTGACATCCACTCTTATAAACCCATTATTACATTTACATTTTAGTCATTTAGCAGACGCTCTTAACCAGAGCGACTTACAGGAGCAATTAGGGTTAAGTGCCTTGCTCAAGGGCACATTAACGTCATTTAGCAGACGCTCTTAGCCAGAGCGACTCACAAATTGGTGCGTTCACCCTATAGCCAGTGGGATAACCACTTTACAATTTGGGGGGGGGGGGGGGTTAGAAGGAATACTTTATCCTATCCCAGGTATTCCTTAAAGAGGTGGGGTTTCAAATGTCTCCGGAAGGTGGTGAGTGACTCCGCTGTCCTGGCGTCGTGAGGAAGCTTGTTCCACCATTGGGGTGCCAGAGCAGCGAACAGTTTTGACTGGGCTGAGCGGGAGCTGTGCTTCCGCAGAGGAAGGGGAGCCAGCAGGCCAGAGGTGGATGAACGCAATGTCCTCGTTTGGGTGTAGGGACTGATCAGAGCCTGAAGGTACAGAGGTGCCGTTCCCCTCACTGCTCCATAGGCAAGCACCATGGTCTTGTAGCGGATGCGAGCTTCAACTGGAAGCCAGTGGAGTGTGCGGAGGAGGGGGGTGACGTGAGAGAACTTGGGAAGGTTGAACATTATAGTATGACCATACCATCTTTGTGCCAAGTCACCCATTATTTCATTATCCTCATGCAAAGCATTGAAGGAATCTGGCTTTCCTTGCTAACAGGCGAGGGGAACTAATTTATCTCTTGTGAAACAGTCTCTTGAGGTAGATCATGCAGACCACCACAGGAACATGGATATACATGCAGGTTGACGTTTGTCATGAGTCATGTCCAGGATGCAGAACTGAGTGATTTCCCCTTAGATAGACCAGCTGCAAAGTCAAAATTGGTCTATATTGTAAAAATACATGAAAACAAAGATGAGCTTTTTGGTCTTAATTTAAGGTTAGGGTTAGCAGTGTGGTTAAGGTTAGGTTTAAAATAAGATTTTATGACTTTGTAGCTGTGCCAGCTATTGCCAGAAGATGCCGACAGTTATGATAGTTATTCTATTGTCATGACGGTCTTCATCCATAACTGTCGGTTACACGGTTATAAGGTAATTGTGCCAGCCCTAACACACACACACACACACACACACACACACACACACACACACACACACACACACACACACACACACACACACACACACACACACACACACACAGCCATGGAACTTACCCAGGACAGAAGATCTGCCACTTTCCCCATAGTTCCCAAAATAGTCCCTCTCACACTGACACTCTCCTCCCTGGCTCAGGCAGCTGCCACGTCTGGCCTCCATCTTGTTGTGCCTTGTCATCCTGGTGACACAGCTCTCTCTCTCTCTCTGTGTGAAGCAACAGGTTATTGGCTCTTCATATTGGCCCTCTGAGGGTCTCCGTCTGTCTGCCTGTTCATCGTGTTTTGATGACAGGAACTGAGGAGGAAAACTGCTGTAGGGTTACAGAAAGATTTGATTAGTCTGTGTCGTCATCCCAGTCGGCCCTGTCATAAACAAAATATCTGATGTAAAATATCTTTACATTTCTAGCACAGAAGTGTGTGATAATGACAACTTTTTCCTTGTTGTAGTATTTTCTCCATGAATTTTTATATTCCAAAGCGCTTTGGAAGAACTTGCTATTTGAACTAGCCTGTTTGTCAATGTCCCCTGTGTCTGGATGGCTGACTGGCTGGTTGATTGACTGACTGGCTGATTGACTGCCTGTCTGGATGGCTGACTGACTGGCACAGGGGAAAGAGCATGAAAAACATGACAAAATACACATTTGTCCCTGTTTTCTTCCTGTAGGAGTAGATTTTAAGATCAAGACGGTGGAGCTGAGAGGGAAGAAGATCAGGTTGCAGATCTGGTGAGTCAACAGGAAACAGGAAGTCATCATCAGCCACCACCTCACACAGACTGAAATGTACTGTACTGTAGTGCAGTTTCCCAAACTCTGTCCTGTTTATTTCTCTCAAATGTTGTGTACAGATTTGTTTACATCCCTGTTAGTGAACATTTCTCCTTTGCCAAGATAATCCATCCTCCTGACAGGTGTGGCATATCAAGAAGCTGATTAAACAGCATGATCATTACACAGGTGCACAATAGAAGACCACTCTAAAATGTGCAGTTTTGTCAAACCGCACAATGCCACAGATGTCTCAAGTTTTGAGGGAGCGTGCAATTGGCATGTTAACTGCAGGAATGTCCACCAGAGCTGTTGCCAGAGAATTTAATGTTTAATTTCTCTACTGTAAGGCCACTCCAACGTCGCTTTAGAGAATTTGTCAGTACGTCCAACCGGCCTCACAACCGCAGACCACATGTATGGCGTCGTGTGGGCGAGCGGTCTGTTGATGTCAAACGTTGTGAACAGAGTGCCCCATGGTGGCGGTGGGGTTATGGTATGGGCAGGCATAAGTTACGGACAACGAACACAGCAGCATTTTATCGATGGCAATTTGAATTTACAGAGATACCGTGACGAGATCCTGAGGCCCATATTTTTATTAAAGGTATCTGTGACCAGCAGATGCATATCTGTATTCCCAGTCATGTGAAATCCATAGATTAGGGCCTAATGCATTTATTTCAATTGACTGATTTCCTTTTATAAACTGTAACTCAGTAAAATCTTTAGAAATTGTTGCACGTTGTGTTATATATTTTTGTTCAGTACATTATGTTTTAGTCAAATATTATATCTGTTTTCCAAGTCTACAAATGATTTGTTATTATGATCCTGCCTCCTAACCATCCGCTCACGAAGAAATTGGCCCGTGGCTGAAATCTAGTTGATGATCCCTGACATACAACATGAACTGACACTTCAGGCTACAGTAATGGACCGTACCGTGTTGTTCAGCTATCTTCTGCTGCACGGAATAGCTGACCGTTTCATGTTACAGCTGCACGGAATAGCTGACCGTTTCATGTTACAGCTGCACAGAATAGCTGACCGTTTCATGTTACAGCTGCATGACACCGCAGAGACTGTAGCTACACATCCTGATGTTGGCATTTAGTGTGTGACTGTGCTGCCTAACCTCTGTCTGTCTGTCAGTCAGCCCTAACCTCTCTGTCTGTCAGTCAGCCCTAACCTCTCTGTCTGTCAGTCAGCCCTAACCTCTCTCTCTGTCTGTCAGTCAGCCCTAACCTCTCCATGGGAGGCTCCATCTAACCCTGCTCTGCCACTTCTCTACTGCTGCTTATACCCTGACTGGCAGACTGACGGACTGGCGGACTGACAGACGGACTGGCGGACAGACTGACGGACTGGCGGACGGACTGACGGACTGACGGACTGGCGGACGGACTGGCGGACTGGCGGACTGACTGGCGGACTGACTGGCGGACTGACTGGCGGACTGACTGGCGGACTGGCGGACTGACTGGCGGACGGACTGACGGACTGGCGGACGGACTGGCGGACTGGCGGACGGACTGGCGGACTGACTGGCGGACTGACTGGCGGACTGACTGGCGGACTGACGGACTGGCGGACTGACTGGCGTACTGACTGGCGGACTGACTTCCAATGTTTACCTCTGCGCCATAGTTTGCTGGATTTGTATATGGAAATCAATTCACATGAAGTTCGGCAATTTCTACATTTGTTTTTAGCTTTAACTAGAGCCTTGTTTTCCCTGGTCTTGTCAGGTGACTTGGTCTGGTAAACCTCATGGCCCTAAATCATAGGACTGGTGTAACTCATAGATCCAGTCTGATATGTGATGTGTCCTGTACCTCCAGGGATACAGCTGGTCAGGAGAGATTCAACAGTATAACTTCAGCCTACTACCGTGGGGCCAAGGGAATAGTACTGGTCTATGATATCACCAAGCAGGAAACCTTCGACGACCTTCCCAAATGGATGAAGATGATCGACAAGGTAAAGGGTTATTATCGCTATATTACTTTTTTTTTGTTCCATTGTATCCAAACTTACATTGCAGTTGTCCATAAATAGGGACCTGAGTTTTTCCTGATCAGGTCAATTTATTATGAAAAACTCAGGGCCCTATACATCATAAGTGATTTCACTGATAAGGGAATGCATGATTATGCAGTACTAGGCATAAAGGACCAGCACTGAGCACCACTGGGATGGGCCACATACCTCTTATCTCCTCTTATCTCCTCTGTTACTACAGTACACACCTCTTATCTCCTCTGTTACTACAGGACACACCTCTTATCTCCTCTGTTACTACAGTACACACCTCTTATCTCCTCTGTTACTACAGTACACACCTCTTATCTCCTCATCTCTCTCCTCTCTGTCATTGGCCAGTATGCTTCAGAAGAGGCAGAGCTGCTGTTGGTGGGGAACAAGCTGGACTGTGAGACAGACCGCATCATCACTAAACAGACTGCAGAGAGGGTGAGTTACATTCCTCTGAAGGCCTTGGTCGTTAATGAAAAACCTTCTCTGAGAAGAACATCTCCAAATTCTAGCTGCTTTAGTAGGAGAGGTTAGGCAGGGCTTTCTATACTGATAATCTTTCCTGATGGATTATTTTATGGATTATTGTGTAGAGCATCACAGTACTATACATGATTCAAACCCCAGGAAAATAATATTAGTTGACCCATAATTCTATGATTTAATTGATTGATTTGATCGATCGATTGACTTGGTATCATCACGTCTCGGTTCCATCCACAGTTTACATCGAGGATATCTGGGATGCGTTTCTGCGAGGCTAGTGCCAAGGACAACTTTAACGTGGAGGAGTGCTTTCTAAAACTAGTGGACGACATTCTAGCAAAGGTGAGTAGGTATCCTCACTGTGCTCGAACTAAAGGCTGCTTATTCTGTTGACCTGTGACCTACACTGAGTGTACCAAACATTAAGAACACCTTCCTAATATTGAGTTGCACCCCCTTTTGCCCTCAGAACAGCCTCAATTCGTCGGGGCATGGACTACAAGGTGTCGAAAGCGTTCCACAGGGATGCTGACCCATGTTGACTCCAATGCTTCCCACAGTTGTGTCAAGTTGGCTGGATATCCTTTGGGTGGTGGACCATTCTTGATACACACCGGAAACTGTTGAGCGAGGAAAAACCCAGCAGTGTTGCAGATCTTAACACAAACCGGTGCGCCTGGCACCTACTACCGTACCCCGTTCAAAGGCACTTAAATCTGTTGTCTCAATTGTCTCAAAGCTTAAACCTCCTTCTTTAACCTGTCTCTTCCCCTTCATCTACACTGATCTGAAGTGGATTAAACAAGTGACATCAATAAGGGATCATAGCTTTCACCTGGTCAGTCTATGTCATGGAAAGAGCAGGTGTTCTTAATGTTTTGTACACTCAATGTAAAGATACAGTGCCTTCAGAAAGTATTCACACCCCTTGACTTTTTGCACATTTTGTTACATCCTGGATTTAAAATGAGATTTTGTGTCACTGATCTACACACACACCATAATGTCAAAGTGGATTTTTTTGTTGTTGAAATTAATTAAAAATATAAAGCTGAAATGTCTTGAGTCAATAAGTATTCAACCCCTTTGACATGGCAAGCCTAAATATGTACAGGAGTCCAAATTTGCTTAACAAGTCACATAATAAGTTGCATGAACTCACTCTATGTGCAATAATAGTGGTTAACCTGATTTATTTAATGACTACCTCATCTCTGTACCATGAAGCCAATGGTGACCTTAAAACAGTTGGAGTTCAAAGGCTGTGATAGGAGAAAACTGAGGATGGATCAACAACATTGTAGTTACTCCACAATACTAACCTAAATGCTGTAATCGCTGCCAAAGGTGCTTCTACAAAGTATTGACTCAGGGGTATGAATACTTATGTACTTGATATATTTCTGAATTAATTTTTAATAAATTTGTTAACATTTCTAAAAACCTGTTTCCACTTTGTCAGTAGATGGGTGAGAAAAAAAATCTGTTTAATCAATTTTGAATTCCGGCTGGAACAACAGAATGTGGAATAAGTCAAGGGGTCTGAATACTTTCTGTAGGCACTCTATATATAGTATTTTAATAGTAATTACAGTGAGGGAAAAAAGTATTTGATCCCCTGCTGATTTTGTACGTTTGCCCACTGACAAAGACATGATCAGTCTATCATTTTAATGGTAGGTTTATTTGAACAGTGAGAGACAGAATAACAACAAAGAAATCCAGAAAAACGCATGTCAAAAATGCTATAAATTGATTTGCATTTTAATGAGGGAAATACGTATTTGACCCCCTCTCAATCAGAAAGATTACTGGCTCCCAGGTGTCTTTTATACAGGTAACGAGCTGAGATTAGGAGCACACTCTTAAAGGGAGTGCTCCTAATCTCAGTTTGTTACCTGTATAAAAGACACCTGTCCACAGAAGCAATCAATCAATCAGATTCCAAACTCTCCACCATGGCCAAGACCAATGTGCTCTCCAAGGATGTCAGGGACAAGATTGTAGACTTACACAAGGCTGGAATGGGCTACAAGACCATCGCCAAGCAGCTTGGTGAGAAGGTGACAACAGTTGGTGCGATTATTCGCAAATGGAAGAAACACAAAATAACTGTCAATCTCCCTCGGCCTGGGGCTCCATGCAAGATCTCACCTCGTGGAGTTGCAATGATCATGGGAACGGTGAGGAATCAGCCCAGAACTACACGGGAGGATCTTGTCAATGATCTCAAGGCAGCTGGGACCATAGTCACCAAGAAAACAATTGGTAACACACTACGCCGTGAAGGACTGAAATCCTGCAGCGCCCGGAAGGTCCCCCTGCTCAAGAAAGCACATATACATGCCCGTCTGAAGTTCGCCAATGAACATCTGAATGATTCAGAGGAGAACTGGGTGAAAGTGTTGTGGTCAGATGAAACCAAAATCGAGCTGTTTGGCATCAACTCAACTCGCCGTGTTTGGAGGAGGAGGAATGCTGCCTATGACCCCAAGAACACCATCCCCACCGTCAAACATGGAGGTGGAAACATTATGCTTTGGGGGTGTTTTTCTGCTAAGGGGACAGGACAACTTCACTGCATCAAAGGGACGATGGACGGGGCCATGTACAGTCAAATCTTGAGTGAGAACCTCCCTCCCTCAGCCAGGGCATTGAAAATGGGTCGTGGATGGGTATTCCAGCATGACAATGACCCAAAACACACGGCCAAGGCAACAAAGGAGTGGCTCAAGAAGAAGCACATTAAGGAACGTCTGACCTCTGTGATTGCCAACAAGGGTTTTGCCACCAAGTACTAAGTCATGTTTAGTACTAAGTCATTAAAATGCAAATCAATTTATAACATTTTTGACATGCGTTTTTCTGGATTTTGTTGTTGTTATTCTGTCTCTCACTGTTCAAATAAACCTACCATTAAAATTATAGACTGATCATGTCTTTGTCAGTGGGCAAATGTACAAAATCAGCAGGGGATCAAATACTTTTTTCCCCTCACTGTATAAACTGGGTGGTTCGAGCCCTGAATGCTGATTGGCTGACAGCCGTGGTATATCAGACCACATACCACGGGTATGACAAAACATTTATTTTTACTGCTCTAATTACGTTGGTAACCAGGTTATAATAGCAATAAGGCACCTTGGTGGTTTGTGGTATATGGCCAATATACCATGGCTAAGGGCTGTATCCAGACACTCCGCGTTGCGTCGTGGTTAAGAACAGCCCTTAGCAATGGTATATTGGTCATATACCACACCCCCTCGGGCCTTATTGCTTAATTTTACCCTTCTAATACTGGTAAGTAATTTGTATATTCCACACCACCTGAGGTACTAAACATTCACTCATTATGATTTGACTGTTAACTTCCTGTTCTGTCTTCTGGTCACCAGATGCCTCTGGAGATTCCCAACAGGGAGCTCTCCAACAGCATCCTGTCTCTGCAGCCTGAACCAGAAGTGCCTCCGGAGCTCAACCCGCCACGCATGCACTGTTGCTGAGATAACCCTCCACTATATCTCTCCTCTCAACCCTCCACTATATCTCTCCTCTCAACCCTCCACTATATCTCTCCTCTCAACACCCACCCCCACTACAACCCCCCCCCACTACAACCCCCCCCCCCACAACCCCTCCCCACTACAACCCCCCCCCACTACAACCCCCCCCCCCCACAAAACCCCCCCCCCCCCCCCACTACAACCCCCCCCCCACTACAACCCTCCTCTCAACCATTCTGGCCACCAGGGGGCAGCACAACCAAGCAGCAGTCGGACATCAGGGGGAGAAGAGGAAGGCCGCGTCCCAAATGGCAATAGATTCCATATATAGTGCACTACTTTTTACCCGAGCCCTATATAGGGAATAGGGTGCCATTTGGGATGCATCCGAAGAGTCAGTTGTTGCTGCAAGGAGCTTATACCACCTCCTCTGACACCCCTTCTCTGATCAATGATCTGACACCCCTTCTCTGATCAATGATCTGACACCACTTCTCTGATCAATGATCTGACACCCCTTCTCTGATCAATGATCTGACACCCCTTCGCTGATCGATTCTCTGACACCCCTTCTCTGACACCCCTGCTCTGACACTCTGACCGATTCGGCGTCCTCCCATTTCTACTTCTGTCCTGTAGCTGAATGATATGACTTGTCACACTAACTCATAGACCTCCATGTAACACCCCCCACTGACCCTTTGTCCACACACACACACCTGCCCCAGACTACCTCATCCACAGGCCTGCCTGGCTAGCAGCCAAGTGCCTTCTGGGTAGAGAGAGATTCCTCTGGTAACCAGTGCACACACACACACACACACACACACTCACACACACACACACACACACACACACGCTCACATGGGGACAACTGGAGAAAGAAGAGGAACCACCCACCTGACTTCGCTGAGGGAGTGGAGCTCCTTCTGTTGTTGTTTAAATGCTACTCACCCGACTCTACTACACCAGGTTTACCTTAACCCTAAAGTGAGTGGCTCTACTGTACAGGAAGGAAAATGGATACTTGTCATATTGCACACCGCTACATTTGATAGAAAATCTTCTTGTATATAGTTTCATATAGACATTTTTAATCCTGACTATCACGTAGTACCTTGAATTAGATACAGTATTGGGTCTAGAGTCAGATGAAAACACGTTGACACGTTGTCTTTTGGGGCTGAAGTCATATACTTAGAAAACGGCCTCCTAGCAGCCATTTGGTCTTGGATTGGACTCCATTTTAAATTGACCGGATCCATGTGAAAAAATGTCAACGTGTGTATTTGCACAGCCAATAATGACACAGCCTTAACAGTGGTTGGTTCGTTGTGTGTCGCGTTCATTTATGTCTGTGTTGCCTTGCAGTATTATGAGAGTGTTCTGGAACGGTCCCTGGTTCATTGTAATGTTTTGCACTATAATCCATGATAACTAGTTAAGCTAATAATGATAAATAAAAAACAAACCTTGTTTCAGTGTTGAACCCTGTCAGTACCTTGCAGCACCTGGGTCACATTCATTAGTGCACACCATACCAAAACGTTTTTGCAACGGGAAAACGTTTTTCTTGTTGGACAATTCAGGTAGTCCCCTGTTGATCTGTTTTTCTTCCGTTTGCTGCCTAGTGAAAACGACTTCGTTTGAGTGGACAGAAGTGCAGTGGCCGATGGGTAGTGTAGTTTTTAGGAGGCATTGTAGTTCTGCCCCAGAAATAGACTGTTCTAAATTAAATTATGTCATGGGGTGAGTTCTCAGTGCACAGAAAAAGGGACAGTCACTATGAAGAGAGGAGGCGTCTACATACAGTCACTATGAAGAGAGGAGATTCACTAGATATACAAAAGTATGTGGACACCCCTTCAAATTAGTGGATTTGGCTATTTCATCCACACTCGTTGCTGACAGGTGTATAAAATTGAGCACACAGCCATGCAATCTCCATAGACAACGTTAGCAGTAGAATGGAATTACTGAAGAGCTCAGTGACTTTTAACGTGGCACCGTCATAGGATGCCACCTTTCCAACAAGTCAGTTCGTCACATTTCTGCCCTGCTAGAGCTGCCCCGGTCAACTGTAAGTGCTGTTATTGAGAAGTGGAAACGTCTAGGAGCAACAACGGCTCAGCCACGAAGTGGTAGGCCACACAAGCTCACAGAACGGGACCGCAGAGTGCTGAAAATCGTTTGTCCTTGGGTGCAACACTCCAAACTGCCTCTCGAAGTAACGTTAGCGCAAGAACTGTTAGTCGGGAGCTTCATGAAACGGGTTTCCGTGGCCGAGCAGCCTAAGATCGCAATACCAAGCGTCGGCTGGAGTTGTGTAAAGCTCGCCGCGATTGGATTCTGGAGCAGTGGAAACGCGTTCTCTGGAGTGATTAATCACTCTTCACCATCTGGCAGTCCGACGGAACAATCTGGGTTTGGCGGATGCCAGTAGAACGCTACCTGCCCCAATGCATAGTGCCAACTGTAAAGTTTGGTGGAGGAGGAATAATGGTCTGGGGCTGTTTTTCATGGTTCGGGCTAGGCCCGTTAGTTCCTCGTGTTTTCACTTCCCCTAAGTTGAAATACCACTTAAAGGTGATCAGTGTCCCTCCATAAAGTAATGTTAGAATTTCTGCGTTGCATTTAGAAAGGCAAGCGCTATAAGAGAAAATGTCCATTGTTTTTGGAAAGGTTTGGTGGTGCACAAACAGTATTGGGATGACTCAGGAATTGATCTTGACTTGACTCGTGTATATATATATATATATATATATATATATATATATATATATTTAGATATATATATATATAGATATATATATATATATTTAGATATATATATATATTTAGATATATATATATTTAGATATATATATATTTAGATATATATATATATTATAGATATATATATATATATAGATATATATATATATAGATATATAGATATTAGATATAGATATAGATAGATATAGATAGATATAATTCTATCTAATTAATTTATATATATATATTTTCGCTTTATCTATCTTTAGTCTCTCTCTATATTCTTTAGCTCTCTCTGACCCTAGTCCTATGTCTGGTCTATCTGCTGTAGGTCTACATTGATCAAACCCCAACAGACACTATTGAAATTGTTCCAAAACGAGACATATCTATGTGACGTATAAAGTATACATGCAGTTCGGAAAAGTATTCAGACCCCTTGGACTTGGAATCGAGCTAAGCACAGGCAAAAAGTCCTAGAGGAAAACCTGGTTTCAGTCTGTTTTCCGAGGACCATGGGAGACAAATTTCACTTTTTCAGCACCCTTTAACCTTGTAACTTTGTTGAACGCACCTTTGGCAGCGATTCAGTCATCAAGTCTTAGCTGGGGTATGACTCTACAAGCTGAGGACACCTCTGTATTTGGGTGAGATTCTCCCAATCTTCCTATGCAGATCCATCCTCAAGCTCTGTCAGGTTGGATGGGGAGCGTTGCTGCACAGCTATTTTCTGGTCTCTCCAGAGATGTTAGATCGGGTTCAAGTCTGGGCTCTGGCTGGGCCACTCAAGGACATTCAGAGACTTGTCCCGAAGCCACTCCTCCGTTGTCTTGGCTGTGTGCTTAGGGTCGTTGTCCTGTTGGAAGGTGAATCTTCGCCCCAGTCTCAGGTCCTGAGCACTCTGGAGCAGGTTTTCATCAAGGATCTCTGTTTGCTCCGTTCATATTTCCCTCGATCCTGACTAGTCTCCCAGTCCCTGCCACTGAAAAACATCCCCACAGCATGATGCTGCCACCACCATGCTTCACTTTAGGGATGGTGCCAGGTTTCCTCCTAGACGTGATGCTTGGCATTCAGGCCAAAGAGTTCAATCTTGGTTTCATCAGACCAGAGAATCTTGTTTCTCATGGTCTGAGAGTCCTTTAGGTGCCTTTTGGCAAACTCCAAGCGGGCTGTCATGTGCCTTTTACTGAGGAGTGGCTTCCGTCTGGCCACTCTACCATAAAGGCCTGATTGGTGGAGTGCTGCAGGAGATGGTTGTCCTTCTGGAAGGTTCTCCCATCTCCACAGAGAAACTCTGGAGCTCTGTCAGAGTGACCATCGGGTTCTTGGTCACCTCCCTGACCAAGGCCCTTCTCCCCCGATTGCTCAGTTTGGCCGGGCGGCCAGCTCTAGGAAGAGTCTTGGTGGTTCCAAACTTCTTCCATTTAAGAATGATAGAGGCCACTGTGTTCTTGGAGACTTTCAATGCTGCAGAAATGTTTTGGTACCCTTCCCCAGATCTGTGCCTCGACAAAATCCTGTCTCGGAGCTCTACAGACAATTCCTTCGACCTCATGGCTTGGTTTTTGCTGTGGCATGCACTGTCAACTGTGGAACCTTATATAGACAGGTGTGTGCCTTTCCAAATCATGTCCAATCAATTGAATTTACCACAGGTGGACTCCAATCAAGTTGTAGAAACATCTCAAGGATGATCAATGGAAACAGGATGCACCTGAGCTCAATTTCGAGTCTCGTAGCAAAGGGTTTGAATACTTATGTAAATAAGTTTTTTTTCTTTTTTTACATTTGCAAACATTTCTAAAAACCTGTTTTCGCTTTGTCATTATTGGGTATTGTGTGTAGATTGATGAGGGGGGAAACATTTATTTAATCTATTTTAGAATAAGGCTGTAACGTAACAAAATGTGTAAAAAGTCAAGGGGTCTGAATACTTTTCCACTGTATGTGTTTAGAATGATGTTTTGGACCAGTTAGAGTACGTCTTACACAGATAGCTGGTTGTCATTGTGCCTTAGTAATGTTTGAATTGTAAACAATCTGAGGCCTATCAACCAACTGAAATAAATGTTGGAGATAGAAATGTTGGATTGTTTTGAGTCAAGAAGAGTGTCACTGAAATTGGTCTTTGCTTAAATTGGGATTCCATGGAATTATGTCCACATCTGTCTGAAAAAACATGTAGATGTTTGTTTTTATCAATGTGCACATAATGGTTTAGGTCAATATGCAATGTTAAGATAGCTTACTTCATATATTAATATCTAACAGGCTTCACGTAATAAGACGCAGAATCCTAAACATACACCCCTGGAGAATAATAGGTGCTTGATATAACAACCAACTTTG